AATTCAAATATCAAATTTCAGAAAGACATAAAAACAAGCTCATGGAGGGACTCTCTCCGTCCCAATATATGTAGCACCTTTTGTTTTTCGAGATTCAAACTATAGTAACTTTATTCAACATTGTAAAAAGTATTTTTTTTAATCATATTAACATGATAAGAATGGCAAATAACAATACTTTCTTTTTTATAATTTTTTAAAATCTAAATTTTTATTCTTAAATATTCATTTGATCTACTCCAATTTAGTTAAATTGACTCTCAATAAATTGAAATGTGGGGAATATATTTTTTTAGGCACACTGAAAAAATATGTCACATACAATAGGACATAAAAAATACTCATTCCGTTTAAAAAAGATGATATATTTCGAATTTTGAAAGTCAAATAAGTTGCTCTTGACTGTAACCGATGTATTAAAATTTAGATTAAAGAAATCCTCTTCGATGGACATGTCGGAAGCACGAAATAAGTGTGTGGCAATGACTGTGAGGTGCGCTTAAACAACTTTTATAAAACGGATTTTCTTTTGTCGTATATATTAGCAGGAGGATATGGTATCAGATGCGGTAATTAGCCAATTATCATACTTCTATAGAAAAATAAATAATTAAAAGCTAGAAGTATCAGAACGAAAAAGACTAAAGAGATTGTGTCTTTTCTTCTTAAGATTTGAAAATTTGAGTTCACATATCTATCTATTCTATACTATATTAAAAGCACGAAAGTCCTTAGCGAAATATCGTTCGTCTTTTTTATCCTTCGTAAGTGTATTTTATTTTGGATAAAATTGTAATTATAAACTCTAAATTTTCCCTATGGAATAAAACTAAAAATTGTTGTTTACTTCCGTTTTTGTTACATACGGATTTTTATTATTATTTAGGTTTAAGTTTCACTTTTAGTTTAGAATTCTTTTACCAGTAAATATTTATTTAGTTATGTCTTTTCTTTGTTTAGGTTTAGGATTTACTTTAGATTTGGGATCTTTTGTCAAAATTTTCTTATGCTACGGATCTTTTATAACAACTTAATTTTTGTTTTAATTATTGTATGTAGCTTTATTTCGGTAACAATTTTTATTTTCTTTTAATTATTGTAGGTTTCCTACAATTGATCATTGGAATAAGCAAAATTTGAATATCAGTTTGAATATACGACAGTAACAACGTCTCTAGAGGCAAAAATTATTTGTATTTGAGGTAATCCTTTTAATTTTTAATGTATTTTGAAAGTTAAGTAGTAGTTATGGTTCATGTATTCTTGAATGACAATACAAATTAAAAAGTTGTTAGTTTTGTGTTTTTTGTTTATAATTTTTTATATATGATTATCAGTTTAATGGCATATTTATAGATTTTGTACAAGTTATTTAGACTTTAGATCATTGCATTACGCAACAAAAAAAATAGTTAGATATTCTAACTCATGATATCAATTCAAGAACTTATTAATTCAAGATTATTTAAACTTATGTTGTATAATTAAAACTAGGGGTGTCAATGGTTCGGTTCGGCCGGTTATTTCATAAAATTTGTACCATACAAATTTTTCGGTTATCCTATTATGTATAACCAAAATTAGACTTTTCGAAACCGTCCCGATCATGTAGGTTTCTCTTCGGTATCGGTACGTTTCGGTTACTTTTCGATATTTTTTAAATATCATATAAAATTCACCAGTAGAAGTAGAATGTAATAACATATGTTCTTTTATATGACTTAGCAAAACTCACATTTTTACTATTTAAAGGATGATGAGTTAAAAAAAATGAAAGATGGCTAGAGTATAGATCCATCAACTATTCTACAACAACGTAAAAGAAATCAAGCAAAGGCAAAGAAAATATAAATCACACGAGTAGAAAGATATTAACCAAGATGGGACTCAAATAAAATCAATAGAATATTAAATATTCAAAAAGATAAATCTAAATTATATGAAAGGAAACATATTCAATACATTGTAGTTTGCTACTCATAATCGCTAGAATACTTTGTGTCTTGCTAATAAAGATACTTGAAATAACTTAGTTTAAGTAGAAGTAGCATAATATGTTTTAGGAATTAGTATTTTGAGTTTAATTACTTGTTGGCTTGTAATAGTTTTCATAATTCCAAGGCCCAAAGAAAAATTTAATGCATTATTATTTTTAAACTTACTAGATAAATATATTTC